TCAGTTGGCCTTTCCTTCCTCTTTTTCTAAAATAGGAGACATCACATGGAAACGAGGTATGAAGCAACTATCCATGACTTCACCAAGATAAGAAGCCTCATCTCAGGTTGTTGGATGTCTCAGTAACATGTCCGTTTTGTGCCCTGTTATCGCACTTTCTGACTGCTTATTATCTTGTTGCTGTCGTGGATAGTTGCTTCATAACTGACAAAATATGACACGACAATGACCGAAGATACTGATGTTCTACAACTAATTGGCTAACGGCTCTAGCACATCTTGGATGCGCACTCCAACAGCCTATCAACTTGGAAGACTCCTTATGTTATTTCTATAACTTAGAACCTTCAAAGTTGGAAGGCTGTTGGAGTGCACATCCAAGATGTGCTAGAGCTGTTAGCCAGTTAGTTATAGAACGTCAGTACCGTCTGTTAGCGTCGTGCAATGTTATCACATGAGCTGATTGTTCAGTAACTGGTGGTGTTAATTAATGACAAAATTATTTTCAAAGATTGATTTTACTTAACTGCAAGGAACACAGTTAGATGTCCATCAGCGTTGATTCTAACGGTCATGCATGGACATTGTATTTTCTATGCGCATTCCCTTTCTCCGGTTGTGTGTTTTGCCGGGAACACTCTCTTATCAGTTATGGAGCGGCTTCAGAGTCTTGCGTAAATCATTCCAACACCAGCATCTCTGCCAGTGAATTATGAAGGAAGGCAGGCATGAGAAAGCAGAGATAACGGATGGTAGGGCCGTAGACGTACATGTACAAAGTGGCTGTTCCATAGGCCAGGGCGGGGGAGGGGGGGCCGATAGACCAGAAGAGGTTGAACTGGCACATAGGCCACATTTATTTTATTTTATTTATTTATTTATTACAGCATCTCATAGCACAGTGAGAACACCGGCCAATACAAAGAGAGAGGGTGTTAGCCAACCACGGCAAGGAAGGGATAACATCTAGCGATGGTAGATGGGGACAGAGTTAGCCATTAGCCATATCCATTACGAGCATCTTGTTTTTTACAAGGCACATGCACTCATCCTTAATGAAACCGGCAGGGTTTTAGTTAGAACAATCCTGCATTGAATGAAATTGATTAAACGTGACGTTATGGTTGAATAATATGGTGGAAAAGACACTCCCAGCGAATTGGCGATAAGCTCACACCTGCACACACACACGCTCCCTAAGCTGCAGATGTACTTTTACACCGCTGTGACACGGAACTCTGCTTCTCACCATCACCACCACCAGCCACCATCAGTTTGCGCATGGCGCCTGGTTGATACATGGTTGGTGGCATTGCACATACATGTTCAGTAAAACCTGTCTAAGCTGACCGCTCATGGGACCTTACAAGTGTGGTCCCCGTGTACAGGTGGTCTCCTTATCCAGGGTCATTTGACTGCACGGAAATGACATCCCTTGATCCTGGTTGTAGTGATCCTGTTCGACAGGTGGTCGCTTTATCAGGGTGGTCACATTGACAGGTTTTCCTGTACAGGGGGACACTTGTTATCTTTAGAAAATTATGTACCAACGGAATCCTGACCTTGGTTTCTAGGTGACTAGTGCACTGTCTTCACTTCTTCTCACAAACCACTGCCGCACAACTAGAGAGAGATTTCAAACGTTGTTGCCCTTCAGGGCATTGCTTGCTGCATTACAGTTGCAGTTTCTAAGCAAAAGACCAGGACCTCAAATCAACTATGCATGTAATATCCTAAAATAGCAATTTCATCATAGCATCAAAGATGCAGACTTCACACAACACCATAACACGAGACGTAATTATTTGAAGGACACTGTTTGCAGGACTTTGACAACGGCTGTGACACGTTTGTATGACTGGCTCTCTGATATTGAGCTTCTGCTGAATACCGACGAAACTCAAGTCATGGTAATTTGACCTCGGGAACTCACTGGCAACATACCAGTCGTGAAATGTAAGGATCACACCTTAATCGTTATCTCCAATGCAAAATACCTTGGCGTAAACATTGACGATCAGCTGTCCTGGCAGCAGCATATTTTATGCTGTGCAGAAGGTGTCAGTCGCCATCAGCCAGCTATGGAGCCATGGTCGATCTCTGCCCATAAGAGCCCGCAGACTTTGGTACATTGGCATTGTGCAAGCACGACTAACGTACGCATCCAATGCATTCTTCCCTTTGCTGATACAGCAGCTGCAGAGTCGTTTACTGTAAATCAACAAATTTTGGCCGGTGAGAAACTTTGGCCGATCTTGAAATGAAACTTTTTGGCCGGTTTGGGTTTTCAAAAAAGAAATCGATTTGGTATTTGTTGCCCTCACATGCAGCCATGGCTCAATAATGCATCATTTGCCTCTATGACAAATTTTGGCCTGCGATTTACTTTGGCCAGTTGGTACCCAGCGGCGAAATCAGCGAAATTAAATCGCCAGCGAAAATTAGTTGATTTACAGTAATCACATCCTACAAATCCGGCATTCATGCAATTTTCCGACCCTCCAACCGTGCACTCACAGTCCCCCTTCTCATGAGCTTATCTATTCGATCCCTAACTCACAATTTTCACTACAAAGTTCGGTTTTGTGCGTTTTGATCTTGCAAGTCCTCTTTACAAGAGTTAAATAATCTTCTTATACGGGCAATCACAGAACATGATATCACTGACCTGACACAACGACGAAAGAAAAAGCAAAACAAAAATTACTCTTCTCTGCACTTATTTTCAGTTTACGGATAGTACACGCCACGTATCCCGAGATGATCGCCGAATTACTGGAGGAGAGGAACAGTGGCTGCTGTAAGTGCCTTTCCTTCCTGGACCTTCTGGTCGTCATCCATTGACATTTGTGGGCAGCACTCCTGAAATGCCCTTCCCAGTGATATTCGCCTCCACAGTGCAGCTTGTTCCTTTAAACTGGCTCTGGACAGGATTGCTTGTAATTAATTTTGTAGCCAGTGTTAGACGCGCTCCTTCCTTGCCTACACATTGCTGCATGTTGTCCCTATGTGCTCTGCACTGCTTAGTAGGAACCGGAGGTTTTTCCTCTGGTGAGAAGGCAGAATTGCCTGGGCTCTGGACGGATTCAAATAAAAGAAACAAACAAAAACAAACTTTATAATAGCTATAAAGAGAACAAATTCTGCTGTCATCGCCACACTACAACAAAGTCATGAAGGTTTACCAAAATCGATTTTCTTGTCACAATCATCAGTGGAAAGCGGTGACTGAAGAATAAACATGCTAAATCAATGATTTGTATACATTCAATAATGTGTTACGAGAACAAAACAAAGTGCTAAAATAGAATGAGGGAAGGCAAAAACAAACATGTACATTGTATGATTCTTTCACAACTGCAGCAATTTGATCACCAGCAGTACATGTATTTGCACTGTAAACTACACAATACACAGACAGCAGAACAAGCAGGTAAACTACATAATACTAATACTGGTGAATTCAAGTTCGCCCACCATTTACAAATGTACATGTACCTGTCACTAATACAAACTAAGGTTTGACTTTCTCAAGTCCTGATAAAAGCGCAAAGCAAACATTGTATGCTTATCAACACGCCAGCAGCATTCATGAAGGCTCTAGCATGCCGCATGAATAAGAAAGAATGAACACACACCTTTGGATAACAAACATGTGACATCTCAGGTTTTTGAGTCCACAAAGTCAGTTCTTGACGGGAGCGGCGGGGAAACACAGCCGCTGGAAAATTGATCGGGTATTTAAAACACGCGGACAGCTGCATGCATGAACGGGGAGGGGGAGGATGGACGGGTTGGCGTAATGTTGCAGCACATCATGTCCGTCAGGGTAGCGAACAGTCACACTGACCGTGATGGTGGTGGTGGTGGTGGTGGTGGTATACGTAGTGGTGAAGCTCATCCGTCGGGCGCGCGTCACTGCACGGCGGTCGTTTGACCGGCATCGCTGCGCCTAATCTCTCCAGTTTGTTCCAGCCCATGACCTGTCGTATGGACGTTCATAAACATTGGTCATTGCGCGCATAGCAGCTACAATGTAAATGCATAATGCACATACGCGCGGAACGGTGCCCGCATTCTTGTCTGCCCGAACACATTGGCTCGTCAATCAGGGTCCAACCGGCTCAGAATGAGATTTGATGAATGTTTTAGGAGCGACACGAAGCTGCGCGCAGCAAATCTAGACACTCGCTTTCTGCCGTTAGGTGGCCATCATGCTTTCGTCCACACCTGCGCGCGGACGGTTTATCAGCATTCATGCATAATTACACGTACACGTACACGCGCACAGTTCACATGAATAATGACAGCTAGCTAGCTAGCCGCTAGCCGAGTGCACTTCTTGCACGCAGGCCATGTACCCGGATGATGGGAGAACGTCACTACATGTACACGTTACGTTAGTTGCATACATGTACATGTCATGTTAGCTGCGGATGGCCGCCTCAGGCAACTACATGTACTTGCATACGACAGGGGTATGCCCCATTATGACTTCACGTAGACGTACAGGTATCGTCGATATGCACGTGTATGTAGTTGTTACGTGTACAAAGTCATGTACATGTTAGCACTAACTAGCCATCAATCAGTTTAACGTAGCATTGAGACTGAGCATGTACATGTTAGCACTAACTAGCCATCAATCAGTATAACGTAGCTTTCAGACTGAACATGTACATGTTAGCACTAACTAGCCATCAATCAGTATAACGTAGCATTCAGACTGAACACGTACATGTACCAGTCTAAGTAGCATAATGCTGTCTTACTCTTACTTCTTAGTGCAAGTGGGGTAGGCAGGAGACTGGCACTGGTACACTGTGTCTGTGTGCGGTGCAACCAGGCAGTCAAATCAGGCGAGCCAGCCAAGGGAGACAACTGCACCAGTCGTAGCTATGCGGTGCTGCCTCTCTACCTGATCACCCTCCTGCCGTGCCACTGCCACTGCCACTGCCACTGCCACTGCCACTGCCAGCTTGGCCTGTACAGCACACTGTTAGAGTAGTGTACCGTCGTGCTAAGGCCAGTACTACTGGTGGCAGCCCTCGCACCCGCACTACTTCCTAGCCAACTACTGCTGCTCTATATGCAGGGACCAGCGCACGCGTATATCGTCCTTCTCTTGCCCTGTTGGCGGTTGTTTGCACGCCAGTTCAGTTGCAGGATCTACTATCCACCGATCGCCTGTGTGAGTTGGACGAAGAGTGGCAGAAGAACTGATGAGAGTCGTTTGTATGATTAGGCTTGCTCCTAGTTGCAAGGTAGTTGATGTGTTCCCCGAGCGTGGGAGTTGTTCAAAAGGAGCTCTTCCTCCGCCTCCGTCAAGTAGTACTACTAGTATTGGGAGAGGATCGACGACGTGCTGGAGGAGGCGTGTAGGGACGTGAAGCTGAGTTTGGTTGGTGTCGTGATGGAGAAGGCCCGCAATGCTTGCTGGCTGTTCCTGACCTTGCTGCCCATCTTGGTATCAACAGCCCATGGTGAGTTGCTTGTGCATACACTGTCCATGCAACCCCTGTGTATTCCAACCACACCTAGTACCTCTTGCTCCCCTCAAACACACACACACACACATACGCTCACACACGTACATGTACATGTACATGTATGCTCAATACTGAGTCGATAGAGAAAAAAGGATAGTACAAGTATGAGGAAACTACCCAGCCGGTAGCCCAGAATGGTAGTTTCCTTGGCTGTTGTCCAGTGCAGTGGCAGTACAGTGTACCACAGTCGACGGGGAGAATCGCCATTTCTGTCCGCATATGGCATTTTCGCCCAGCCTCCATGGAAACTGGACAGCGTATGGTTTCGAGCTGCAAATTGGTGAATTGCCCAGGTGCCCAGCGTCCCCCAATATGACGTATCCGCCGTTGGGAACAAACAAGAAGAGAACACCCGCTTCAGAGCAACACGGGGTTGTTGTTGCGCGTGGTGCGTCGTTGCTCATTACCACGCTCAGCCAGTAATCAGTCTCGAAATTAGCTTGATGATCGATCATGACTCGGGGTAGAAGGCGATTTCCTTCCATCCTCTCTCCGTATTGCAGTCTCCAACGTCTTTCCTGTTCATCTCCCTTTCAGTAGCCTGAACTCGCATGCCACAACATATCTAAAAGATGAAACTCTGACTAGCAACCTAAATGTCCCTCTCTTCAATCTTCAATGTACAATGCTGGCTGCATATCCTTCGCGTTGTTTTCTCTCCGGGCTGTTCCCTGAGAGAAGAGTGAGAAATTGTAAATCAATGCCGTTTTTTGGATACGTGTACTTCGTTTTCTATTGCAATGCGACATGTAGTGTTAGGAATCATGTTTGAAGCTGTGTTGGGCATTTCAAGGCAGTGGGAGTGGGAGTGAGATTTTCATTTCCCAGGCTCTCTTTGTAAAATTAGGGTGGTGGTGGTGGTGGTGGTGGTGGTGGTGGTGGTGGTGGTGGTGCGATGTTTGCTGTCGCTGCTTAAAGTTTACATCGCAAAACCAAATGAGCAGGCTTGCCCAATACTGTGATTGCGATGGGAATACAAACTACTACTTCGAAGTACTTGTACCTGTATGTGGGAAAATAGCAATCATGTTTCAAGTTTGTGACGCTTCCTCTGCAGGCTTAGAAGGTGTCACAAGAAATCTAAATGTTTGGGCCGTGTAGAGCTAAAATGTACAATGACTGTGTATGCATGTGCCATGCAAGCATGAGGTTGCATGAGGTTGCATGAGGTAGCATGAGGTAGGGAAGTCCTCATGGTTGTTAGAATATCTCCAGCTACACGTGTAACTGCAGCAGCAGCAGCTGCGTACCCAGTGTATTTCCTGAGAGCCCTAGAAGTGGTTGTGAGCACCAGCGTCGTTTCTCCCTCGACTGCTGTTTACGACAACACCGGATGAGAGTGAGCGTGTCGGTCTGTGAGGAAACGTGATTTTTGAGGTGGTGTGACGAACTATGTCCTCAGCTAACTACTATAGTCCTATTCCTGCAATGCGACTTCACTTTATGTATTGCCCGTTTCAAGCCATTCATGATCACGATGATTAGTGCGGGGCAAGGTGAGAGACGGTTTCTCACCATGGGGGGCTCCTGAATGAAACAGTTGCTTCATCATGGTGGACATCATCAACAACAACAAAACCCCGGGATGACCAGTGACCGGTGCTGCAATGTGTGGCAATATCCACTAGTATTCGCGAACGCAGAGAGCTCCTCGATGTCTTTTCTCGTCGTATAGACCCTGAGAACAATCTGTGGCAGAACAGGTTAAGGTTTCAAGCAGCTTCAAGCACATCTCACTCAGTGACGACGATCTTGCTAACCAACCAATAGTACTTACTTGTGTGTGTGTGTGCCCGTGCCAGTACGACCAAGAGTATTATGACATCAGTCCCTCTAGTGCCAGGTCAGAACGCGGCGCAGACAGGAGAGCTGGAGCAGCTGGAAATAGCCGCAAGGGCTAAAAGTACTAGTATTTCGTCAGAGATGGACAATGAAACTTGGCCCCGCATATGCCATAATATTATACATGTACAATCATGTATCCAAATGCGCGATTCTCTCAGCCCATTTTGGCAGACGCTTACATGTACACTGCCAGACATGCTTTTGTTTTCTTCCACAATCGTCACCTTGACGTGCGAAAACTCGAGCTACATGTACTTCGATGTCATGGAGATTCGCACTGGATTGAACCTTTATACATGCACAAGATGCGTTCGGGCCTGGTTTAAATCTGGCTTTGGAAAATTTCATTGCTATCAGGTTCGGCCTCATTATCTCTGTGCTGCGCTGATGAGTCCAGAAAGGACGAAACTTTTCTGTCCGCAGAGGAGTGATCACTCTACATGGTACAGGGATGCTTTTCATTCCAGATTACTCATTGTTGTTGTTGTTGTTTGGCTTTATTTAAAGTGGAGTTCCAAAACAGGCCTAAACCTAATGACAATGGTCCCACTGATAATAAGAGAAAAGAAAATATAATCATAAGCGGACAAACAGAACCAAGAAGAAGATACAGCTGTAGTTAGATAACTAATATGAGCACGGCAGCAGGGGAAAAAAAGTCACAAGCACGGCAACCGGGAAGAAAGGAGTGAGTGAGTGAGTGAGAGAGAGAGAGAGAGAGAGAGAGAGAGAGAGAGAGAGAGAGAGGTAGTGAAGCAGATGAGTTCATCCTAGTTGACGGTACTGCCTAACAGAAAGGCCAGGCTTAGCGATTTGAAAGTGGAGCGCTTTCTTTCGAGGCGTGCTGTGTCTGGGAGCTGGTTCCACAGGATAGCTCCAGCATGGCTAATGCGCTTAGCTGAGGATGCAGTGGGGGAGACAGGAATGATGAGTAACTTGCTGTTCCCTCCTCGTGTTCGGAGAGAGGGACTACGGGTGAAAAAGCTTGCAAACAGAGTACTTGAAGATTTGTTCAGGCAGCGCCAAATGAATACAAGGATGTGCATGTGGGTGTATATGCTGAGGGTATGGGCATTCATGCGTTCAAGTAAGGGAGCCGTGTGAGTGCGAGGGGCTGCCCTGCACACCGAGCGAGCCGCACGTTTGAACAAACTATTTAGGCGCTTATCCTGATAAGACGATAAGAAAGGGGCATAGGCAGCAGATGCATAGTCAAATTCTGATAGTATAAAGGACCTGAAAAACTGAACACGGCAAGAAAAAGGCAAACATGCTGCACTTCGATTTAGTAGCCCAATCTTAGCGGCAACGCGGCGTGCAACATGGCTTGTCATGGTGTTCCAGCTCATGTCTGAGTCGAAATGTAGGCCAAGATACTTGGCCGTTTTCACAACAGGCAGCGTCTGCCCATTACAAATGACATGCAGCTCAAGTGCTTGAGATGGGGATGGGGGAATAGGCAATATCTGTGTCTTTCTTTCATTAAGAATTAAACCACGGCCCTTCAGCCAGGTGGCCAGGTGCTGAACAGCAGCTGAAAGGTGTGCAGAAACAGCTTCCGCAGACTCCCTGCTACATCGTATAGAGATGTCATCAGCAAACTGGATTGCTCCCACATTAAACGGTGATAGTTCTTCTGCTATGCCGCGGGCATAGACAATAAAATTTAATAGCAGTGGGCCCAGTACCGACCCCTGGGGGACACCTGAGTAACTGGTGTACGGGAGACTTCTAGTCTGGCCAACCTGAACGTACTGTTCTCTATCAGAGAGGTAATCCACCAGCCAACAGAGTGCCGTGTCGCAGATGCCAAGTTCGAACAGATCTTGCACAAGAGTTTGATGTTTCACTTTATCGAATGCCTTTGACATATCAACAAAGGCTACACCTGTGTTGAGTCTGTTCATACGGGCCTCACAGATACCTTCCACAGCTAGCACTAGTGCGTCGGATGTAGAGTGGTGGGATCTGTAGCCGAATTGAGTTGGCGGGAATAAATTGCTCTGAACTAGATATCGTGTGAGTTGCTCGTGGACTATCCTTTCCAACACTTTGGATGCAATCGATAACAAGGACACTGGTCGATGATTCTTTGGCATGCTCGGATCTCCGCCTTTGAAGAGTGGCGATATCCTAGCACTTTTCATCTGGGCAGGAAATATGCCCTCTCTCAGGGACTTGTTAAAGATCAAAGTCAGGGATGGCGCCAGTATGTCTGCATGTGCGCGGAGAAGGGCTGCAGAAATATCATCATCACCGCTGGACTTGGCCGGATTTAAACGTTCGAGGAGCTTCCTCACTCTGGCAATAGACACTGGCGCAAAGGCTGTCAGATCAGTGCTTGAGGCGGGCCCGTAGGGAAATGAGAGATGCACTGGGCGGCTGGCGTCCTCTACTATCTCTGCAAAGGTGTTTCGGACGGCATCAACAGAACATTGAGGTGGCTGAGATTGTCGATGTTTACCACTCAATTCTTTGATCGTGTGCCATGTCTGTTTGGTATTGCCAGACGCAGCTCGAAACTTGGATTGGTAGTAGGTCTCTTTCTGTTGCCTATTATAGCTGGTAGCTTCCCGCCTGGCAGCCTTGAAAGCTGAGTGGGAATGTTCTGTTCCATCACTAAGCCACCTCCTATGGAGCCGGTTGCGCTTGGTCAAGAGGTGTAATAACTGGCGGTTCATCCATGGTACTGATTTTTTCTTGCGTCGAGGGCTTGGTGCAAGAGGAGCATGTCTGTCTAACACTTGTAGAAAGCGGCTGGCCCACTCAGTCCACATGACTCATTGTGGAACAATTCGCCGAATTTCAGTCATCATTAAATTTTCATCCCTGCAGTGTATGATTGCGCGTGGCGCAGTTAATTGCTGGTTGACGTTTGGAGAAATCTAATGTCAAAGTCAGGAATGCTATTCAGTCCACAGACCACTCGCCGTAGGACAATTCGCCGAGCGTCATTTATCTCCACACAATAAAATGTACGAGTGCACGCGGTGTGATGGGTTGACGTCTGCATGGACTTGACCGTTGACGTTATCAGTGACAGTACTAGGAATACAATGCCGTTCGTGTCGACATTGGTTCCTGCAGGC